AACCGACTGTAACGTTTGGCTCAAGAGCGGGATTCAAAAAGGGGACGCTACGTGTTTTCACAAATTTTGGTTTTGCCCCATTTCACGGTGGATTCAGAGCATTGCACGCTTCACCGTCTGCAAACTCTTGAAAGCTTGTTGACTGCGCCCTTCCCTCCTGTGCTCACCTCTGTGTGACTCCCCCTCAAAATGCTTTTGCCGCAACATGGGGCTGTCCATTGACAACATGGAAAGAGTCACTCCTTGCAGGCAACACTGCTGGTTTTCCAATTGCTTGGAGCAATGGGACTCTCCGCAGTTGTTTTCCGTTGCACGCCTGTCTACTCTCACACATGCTCACGGTGACTGAATAGCGTGGGTCATGCAAGCCTCTCGCCAGCCTAAACAAACAAGTAAAATGGTGTGCGCAACTCCACAGCCTCAACCAAGGCCAGGTGCCAAGCCCGATGTCAAAAGCGCTGAGGCACCACAGCACTTTGCAATGCCCCATGTTTTTTGCACGAGTGGAGACGCCATGTGTGCGGTGTGCGCAGGTCATCTTTTGCTGAGGTTTGAAACTCCGCGTGCCTGATTGGTTGCCCCATGTTTCACCCCTTCTCTTTCCCACTTGAGTTGCGAGCCAGGCTGCCCTCTTTTCTGGGTTTTTTTGTTTGTTTGGAGGTTTGGTTGTTTTCTGCTCGGTTTCTCTGGTTCTTTCTTTCTGGCCATCATGCGCAGCACAAGATGACCTGCGCAATCTCTGCACACATGGCGCTCGACCCGTGCAAACAAAACTCGAAAATGGGGATTGGCTGGCGTGGTGACACAGGTCGGGAGTGCAGACCCAGTGCCACGCGCTACAAGAGACAAGGCAGCCCAACTTTGCAAGTCTTCAGCGCGAGATGACCTGTGCATTCTCTGCACACATGGCGTCTCCACCCGTGCAAGAAAAAATGGGATTGGCCAGCGCACAATTGCGCGGCGCCGCAGGCAACTGCCCCAGCATGCAAATGGAAAAATGGATGGATGGTTGGTTGGTTGGTGGGTTGGCTCTCGTTCCTTGACGGAACTTTGTGTTTCGAATTGTTTTGGGTGCTTTGGAGAGCAAAGCTCAGAATGTTCAACGTTTAGAAGCTTTGTGCAGAAGTCTTTGTGGCTTTTGCAGTGTGAATGTTTCTTTGAACAGTTTTGATGATCTCGACTTCAACTCAGTGAATCAAGACTCCACACCACCAAAGTTGGCGAAGATGATAAAAATGCAGGTGTCCCTCTTGGGACACGATCGGATGTCCAGTCAGCTTCTGTGACACTCTCACAAACCTTCATGTCAATCTTGTTGATGGTTGGTTGCAGGCAAAATTGTCTGCTCGGATTTTGCAAGAAAGACATCTTTGTTTCTCTTCATGGATTGGAGAACCGTTTTTGCGTTCTTTCTGCAGACAGCTCTTGCGCTGATTGATCCACTCACTTTGGGCAGCAGGTTTTTCAGGTTGCGGAGCTCGGAGAATGAACGCCTGCGGCAGGGATAGAACTTGAACTGAACCAGGGGTTGAGATGGAAGAGAATCTTCTCTCATCTTTCGTCGTTCCTTCTTCAATGCTGATGTGACCATGTTCACAGGAGATGGATGGAGCATGTCTGACAGAATGTTGATCATTCTACTGAAGGCTACTACTATAGCTCACTGCTTTTGTGGATGTTGAAGAGCTTGTGATGCTGACGATGCAATGTCTGAGAGAAAAACTTGAACATTTACGGCAACGCAGTGTCGTTAGGGGCCGCCTGGAAAGTCCATAGTTTTCCAGACAAATTGGGTTTCGCGTCTGCGACATTGCCTGTCAGGCACCTTCTTGAACGTTTGTCGCTCAAGGGTCCCAGTGATGACCAAATATTCAAAGAAGTCAATGTGTGTGACTTTAAGAGATATCTGAGGGATCCTTGGTTCATTCCTTGTCGGTTTGATTTTGGCGTGCGTGTTGACTGAGTGGTTGCGTGCGTGCATGGTTGTTGAACTTGGCGTGCTTTGTTGAATTTGCTGTTGAAGACCTGTGGACGTCAAGGCTGAAAGCTTGATGAGCTGAGTTTTCAAAAAATGAGAAGAAGAAGAATACAGAAGAATGGAATGAATAGAAAGAGGATTGAGTAGCTAGCATGTAGTGACCCAAGAAGGGGTGTGAAAAGGAGTGAGCAGTATGGCTCGCTACATGTAGCTCTGTATTGGGATTTTGAGTTTGATTTTTCCATAGGAGTGGTGCCTCTTTGTATTTTTGGTTCCTTCTTGCTGTTTGGTTTTGGGGGAGTCGCAACCAGAGTGGTCTTGGTAGACTTCTTAGCTGGTTCTTGTATTTAGAAGAGCTTCCTTACTTAGTCTTTGGACTGTGTAGCTCAAGAGCCAGAGACTTGTGACTTGTTTTGGTTGCGTGAACGCTTTGCTGAGAGCCTCAATGCTGGGCTTTTGGCTCAAGAGCGGGGCCGAGAAAAGGACTGCTGCGCTGTCCGTGTGTGTCGCATCATGCAGTTGCAGTCAACTTCATTGCAAGTTTAACATCCAGGATGTTTCTTGTGATTTCTTTCGCAGTTGCATTTCGCTTTGTGCGCTGGTCAGGTCTTTTAGATGGATGTTGCATGGCGTTGTAACCCTAGTACAACTTTTGCTACCTGAGCTAGCGGGTGTGTTGTTCTTGAAAGCTTTGCTTTCGAGGATCTCGATGATGAGACATGAGAGTTATCGCAATAGGGATCTGACCCTAAGATCCCTGAGGGATCCTTTTTGACTTGCGTTGTTGCTTGTTAGCTTAGTTATCTGCATGCTCTTTGTTGGTCGAGATTGACTCTTTGTTGGGTCTGGAGCTTTGCTTGAGCTGGACTCGAGTTTACCTTGATTGATGACATTGAGATCACATTCAAGACAGGTGCATGGATCTTCGTTGTTGTCTGATCCAAAGTTGTCCAGAGAAGAACGAAGAGAGAAGAAGAGAAGAAGAAGAGAGACAGATGGCGGCGCCTAGTGACCCACGAAGTGGTGTGAAAGATTGTGCGCGTACAGGGTGTGAATCACCTAGTGCCTGTTCCTTGAGTAGATTTTCGTTTTTGATGACTTGGGGTTGGAGCTGACTTTGGTTTGCGGTCCTTTGTTGGCGCTTTGCTTTACCAACTTGGCAGGACAACCTTTTAGACCGTCGCCTGCAGAACGTCGTGCGAAGGAAACGGGCTTTGTAAGCGTGCGTTGTTCAAGCCACGGGATTGTAAGTGTTTTTTATATCCATGCCATCTTTCCCCAAACAGTTTACTGTTAGGGGTTCTCTTTTGTCTCTGGTCTTGTCCCTCTTGTTGTTGGTCACTGTGGTCTCCCTTCTGTTTCCTTTTGTGTCCCTTCTTGTTGGTGTCCGCCTTGTCTCCCTTCTTGTCTCCCTTCTGTTTCCTTTTTTCTCCCTTCTTGTTGGTCACTGTGTCCGTCTTGTCTCCCTTCTGTTTCCTTTTGTGTCCCTTCTTGTTGGTGTCCGCCTTGTCTCCCTTCTTGTCTCCCTTCTGTTTCCTTTTTTCTCCCTTCTTGTTGGTCATTGTGTCCGCCTTGTCTCCCTTCTGTTTCCCTTTGTCTCCGGTCTTGTCTTCCTTCTTGTTGGGCACTGTGTCCGTCTTGTCTCCCTTCTTGTCTCCCTTCTTGTTCCCCTTCTTGTTGGTCATTGTGTCCGCCTTGTCTTCCTTCTTTCCTTTGCATGTGCCTCCTCTCTCCCCCTCTCGCTTGCAACCCCCCTTCACATTTGTCTCCCACCTCCTCTGCCCTGCAATCCTTTACATTTGTCTCCCAGCTCTGGGCTGCGTGTCTCTTGCAATCCTTTACATTTGTCTCCCTCTCTCTACATTTGTCTCCCGGCTCTGGGCTGCGTGTCGCTTGCAATCCTTTACATTTGTCTTGTCGGCAATCCTTTACATTTGTCCCAGCGCTTTCCAACCCTTAATTTTACATGTGTCTCCCAGCTCTGACTGCTGTGTCCGCCTCTGCTTTGCAATCCTTTATTTTTCACCCAGCTGCTTGCAGTCCTTTCGTCGCAAGCTCTAGTTGCAGAGTGTTCCGATTTGGAAAAACACAAACTGTTTGGGGTCTACGGTGGTGTAATTTTGACATCTGATATTCCCCGACACTGGCTCGACATATATACTGAGCCAATGATTGACTCATGACACGGCCGAGTCCGCCCACCGGTATGGTCTCCATCTCATGGTAGCACTGCGTGTACATGGAGACTGTTTGAGATAGTTCTCTTTAGTTTTGTGTAGGTTTGAGATGACTGTGAACAGTCTTGACTCTTTTAAGAAGAGTTGACAAGCTCTGGAGAAACTTGGAGAACCTTTGAGGCACTCTGAACCGACTGTGACTTTGGCTCAAGGAGCGGGATCGAAAAAGGAAGCTGCCGCATCCGCGTTTTCACAAAGATAGACATCGACCAAACTCGTCGCCTTTGTTGGATTTGAATTCTCACGCTCATGAACCCCTCCATACATTTGACATGACAAAGGTTGTTTAGTTGTTCCCCCGCACTTTGGAAGCTTTGCAAGGAGATTCCTAAGGATGGGGTTGTGGCCCACAATGTTTTGGATGTTCCATGTAAAACTTCCCAGTATCTCGCGCTGAACTGTTTTGTGGGATGCGATATTTTCAGCACTTGATCGTCAGACCTTTGGTCCTGCCAGGGTTTTCTCACCAAGACTTCAGAGAAGATCAGAGGGTCATGAATGGTGTTGATTGGATAGTCATCTTGAGTGCAAACTTTCAAAAGAACTGCCTGATGTTTTTGCTACTGTTTGGCCATTTGGCGGATATGGCTGTGGAGCTTCCGAAAGCTTTGGAAGGCGGGGGCCTGGAGGGCATGACTTGGACCCTTTGGCACCCTGTTGGGACCAGCCAAAAACACATTCATCACAGAGTCACGCTGAGTCAGTCTGCAGGGCTCAAGCCGAAGGGGCGAGTCAGGTCCTGGTAAGGTGCCCGAAACCCTTTCCGTTCCGCTCGTTTACCGAGAATGCAGCAAGCGGTGGTCACTGCCGTGGTTCTTTTGTGTCTCAGTTCGCTGAGCGCCGCAATGAAGCTACATGATTCCATCAACACGAGCATTGGCACCGGCTCCAACGTGTGCCGCAGCTCAAAGGACAGTCTGAAGATCCTGGCCAATGATTTGGAGGAATCTTTAGGTTACAATGCAATGTTTTACAAGGGATGCCTGCAATTTGTGAAGAACAACGCCCATCTCGATCTCCCCATCATGGCTCAAATCGAGGCGCATATATAGCTAAGCTCGAAAAGTAAGTGTTTGAATATAATTTGGACATATGGCACTGAGATTGACAAACGTGAACAAGTATGGAAAGGGTTCAATCTCTTGTGGATCTACCTGTTGTATCATATCCTGTTGTTGGATCTTCTTCTGTTTTCTTGCATGCGCTGGTCCAGGCCTTCGGCAAGAGGTGCAAGCAAGCGCTTTTCGTGGGTGATGAGTCGTCCATGGAGAAGGTTGACCCAAATCAACTAAAGGCGGAGTGTGACCGGGCCATCTATAACATGGAGGCTCAGTTCCGCATGCTTGGCCCAGAGTCTTTGAACACCCCAGAGGAGTTGCTGGGCAAGCAGACGGCAAGCAATCTATTTTAGATTACAAAATTGTTTGTTGAAATTTTTGAAGGGGAGCAGGAACCTTTTTCGTCGAAACTTGCAAAGCCTTTGTGTGAGGGGTCCCGCTCAAAAGTAGGTTTTGTGCGGTCTTCGTCGATATGGTGTTGCCCATCGAAGATGAGCCTGAGTGCATGCGTTTTTTGGAGGATGTGAGCTCGAAACACTTTGATTTCTTGGGCGCAGCGCACTCATGGCCTGGGATCATACACGAACCTCACTTTGAGGAGGCCTTCATGGAGGCCTGCTTGCAAGACAAGAAATTGGAGAGCGAAGAAGAGGGTGTGGTGCTCAACTATGGAGATGGTGCTAGGGACTGCCAGATGAAAATGGATCGCGTCTCTGCCATGCATTTGCGGAAACACTACAAGCATTTGGCAGAACTCTTCTCCGAGTTGTGCCCCTTGCTTGGCAAGGAATTGCCAGACCATGAAAAACCAATTCCTTTCCAGAAGACCCGGCGCACCTTGCATACAGCCCTCTTCCATCGTGCTGCCAAATTGCAGGCACGCAGCAACATCAGCACTTCAGGAACCAAAAAACGCAAGAAACCCTTCAGCGCTTTGCAGATTCATTTGGACAAGACGGTGTCTGGGAAGGGCGACGACGGTCGCCGACGTCGCAGCAGGCTCGGGAGTGAGTGCCGAGAGCGGAGAGTGAGCGAAGAAGCGAACAGCCGGAGAACGTGAGGGGTAGAAACAAGTGCCTTACTAGTAGTAACTAGAAGCTATTAGAAACAAGTGCCTTACTAGTAGTAACAAGAAGCGAACATGATTCCGCACCCCCCAAAAAAGACAGCGCATGGCCCTCGCTTGTGCGCGCGCAAATCGCCTCGCTTGTGCACGCGGAAAATGCTTCGCTTGTACAGCTTGTGCACGCGCAGGTTGGAAGACTGACAAGCCTTCACTATAATGGCTGCACCTGAACACACTCCCAGTAGTCATATGTTTGCCATGAAGAGAGGAGCAAACATGCAGATCTTCCAGGTGTCAGGTCATCCAAGGCATGTCAGACACGAAGAGTTGAAAACATTTCTGCTCCGGTTGCCACACACATCTTTTGATGAACTGGTATGAACGGACTGCAAAGCATTATGTTGAAACTCCTGCCATAAAGACAGGTGCACATCTTCAAGCTGGCTTCAGGTTTTCGAGGCAAGACGTGTTAAGAGTGATTTGGAAGTTTCCCCGTCGTGCATCCTGTGAACAGCTGTTGTGAACAGACTTTCTTTCAGGAAGTGTTCTGCAGAAACTGCACTGTGCACTGTGCTTCAGGTAAGCTTTATGTGACTAAGATGTCCACCAGTGATGAGTGTGGGCCCACAGCCTTTTCCAAGCTAGCAACTAGCATACCTTTTGTGACCCATCCAAGGGCATGGGGCCATTCCGACGTCACATACCTTTTGTGAATCCAGAGGAGACGGAACCGTTCCTTTCTGAACTCCCTGCAAAGCGCCCAACATTAGATGCTTGCCCAAAGCAGCTCAGAACATCACAGCAAAGCTGCAAAGCCGGCTGCCAGAAGGTTCCCGCCACATGTTCGCTGCTTCCAGCATTTTATCGGTGGCTTCCATTTGGTCACCCTCCTGCGTGGCAACAACCCAGTACTTGGGAAGAACCGCTAGCTCCCTCACCCAGTGCTCGTCCAGTGACTCTTCAAGCTCTGAAACAAACTTCTTCACATCGGACCCAATTTTTGACACCCTCCAGCTTGGTGAGCATCGAACACAGGGGACCTTAAACGAGAGCCAAGGCACAAACATGTAATGCGTAGTAGACCTCTTGTGTGCCACCCGAGAGTACCGTCTAGAGGAGGAAGGAACCATTCCAGGGTAATGCACCTTTTGTGAGCCACCGGAGCTGTTACATTTAGATGTAGAAGGTGCCATTCCAACGTAGTAGACCTTTTTGCAAGCCACCCGAGGTAGCAACATGCCTGTGTGCGCAAGTGAGTCGCTGCGTGCTCAAGTGGGTTAACTTTGGCGTGTGCAGGTGCGGTTTCCCTTCATAATTAAACAAACAGGCAGGGTTGACTGCCGACCTCGCGTGCAAGTGAGGTGATTTTGGCGTGCGCAAGTGAGTGGGTGCCAATGAACAGCAGGCAGATAGCGGTCGGAAGTTAGGGCTATATATGTTTTCTCACTTTTTGGTGTGAAGAACAGATGCCGAAAAGGCTCGTCCAACTCTGTCAAAACTACAGGAGTTGGCTAAAAACCCTTGACTCTAGGCGAGTTGAAGGCAGCAATTTTGTCGCTGACGTTGGTGTTGCACCAAGCACCTGGCCCTGAAGAACAGTCATGCCAGTCTTGTGGGTGTTGATTCTCAGGAGAAGGCGCCTCACCCACAAGCAAGCCACTTGCTGCAACGGAGAAGCTCGCATGTACGAGGTTGGTGTGGAAGCTTCTGCTGGCGTGGCGGTTGACTATGGGCAGATTGTGGCAGAGGGCTTTGAACGCTGGAGAGGCAATGACTGCGAGTACAAGCTAGGCCACATGGGTGGCTGGGTCCTTGTTTGGAAGTGCTTGTCATCCAGTTTGTGGATTTCATTCCGGGCCAAGCTAGCACTTCCAAACGACGAAGACCTTTTAGATGTCTCAAGCTCCTTTGTGTATAAGCCGTTGCATTTCCAGACTTGCTGGGCAAGTGAACATATGCCAAGACATCAGAGCTGAACAAATGTATCACTCGAACTAGAAAGGCCAATTTTCAATATGCAGCCTCGGAATAGTTATTGCTGGAAAATGCCGAACGCGAAGAACCCATGACTCTCCCTGTCAGTGAGGCACCTTTTGAGACAGTCGGCTATAGATACATCACCGGGTACCCAGCCAACTAGCAAGGCGAGGAAAAAGTAGCATATGTTGAGTTTAGTTCATCCACAATTCTATACTCAGCTTTTGTTGGTTGCCTCAAGTTCATGATCTACTGTGTGCTTAATTCTTTCTTTTGATGGGTCAAAAGGACACCTTTGGGCGCTCTCCGGTGGAATGATGTGGAAAGCACCCAGTCGGCCGAGGTGAGGTTTGCGGGGGCTTGGAGCTTGGTGCTGGCATCGACGCCACGGTCAGTGCTGGGTGGTTCAAGAAATGGAGCGATATCCTAGGCAAGGCATGGTTCAAGGGTGGTGGCCTTTGCCTAGTTGGGTGTGCCGGAGTCTCTTTCATTGAAACCGAGGCCCTTGGTGGGCAAGTGATTGGTGAAGTGCTGACGGCAGGGGGTGGCATGGGGATTGAGGTTTCTGCTGGGTGGTGCAAATGCTGGAAGTGGGCTCGGGAAGAAAGTTCTTGGGAACGAAGACTCAAGAAAAAGTGTCCCGCATCAGATGGTGGATGCTTCCCATCCAATGCCTTGGTGCAAACCCCAGATGGTCAGAAGCAGATGCACGAGCTTCGAGTCGGTGAAAAGGTTTTGGCCTTGGATTCGGCCGGTGCCTTGATTTTCGATGACATCTATTTCTTTGGCCATGCACAGCCAAACACTCTGGCAGCTTTTGTGAGATTGGACATCGGGGAAGTTAGTTTGGAGCTGACCGGAAAGCATTTCATCCAAGTCTGCACAAAAGTTCCCTGCCATTGGGACGACCGACAGACCATCTATGCGGAAGAGGTGCAAGTTGGTCAACAAGTTTGGCTGATAGAAGACACCAAAGCTGAAGTCTGCTTTGTGAAATCCATCCAGATTGTGCCCAGGCTCGGCCTCTACAATCCGTACACCTTGTCAGGGAATATCGTGGTCAATGGTGTTGTGGCCAGTGCGCACAGCAGTTGGCTCTTGGATGCTTGGGCACCTTCTTGGTTGCAAAAGCATTTGGCTGCGATCTATCAGGCAATTTTCTTCTTTGGGAGGCAGGGGGTAGGGATGCTGAGAACGATTGACTTGTTTCCAAACCACGAATTTATGGGAGTGTGAGGACTAGACCCTGCGATCTGGGAGGTGCCTCTATTTCGTAGCTGGAGAACAAGCAGCTGATTTCCTTGGAGTCGACAATCCACAAGTACAAGAGCCTGGCATCATGACGTTGGTGACCGTGGCCTGTCCTGCACTTGTCGCTCTTCTTGGGACTCTTGTCACGGTGAAGCGCTTGGCTTCCAAGACAGCGTGATGTTGCCAGGCAAAGGGTTGCGAGGAACAGCTCGCCAGCCAGCAACAAAGGAGCCTGCGGATCCTCAATTTATACACCCAGCTGGGCCGTGAGCTAGGGCCATGCCGCATACGGCACAGCTGAACATCACAGGTACTTTCAATGCCCGACGCTCGTCGTTGGCAGCCAAACGGTGGTTTTCTTTTTCAGGGTAATTCGTGTGACTGGTTGGGTTTGACAATAAAGAGCATCAATGTACACCATTCGTACCTCCACATATACAATTGGAGATAGAGGCAAAATGTATTTTTACATACGACACTACATACATACATGCACACAGGGGTGAGCACGTGATCAAGGCAGCCATTGCGTCAAAAACTTTAGTTTTTGCAGAGAAATGCTCGGTCTCTTCAGGGTTGATGTGAGTTTTTGGGAGAGTATCCCACTCCAGTTCTTCGAGAATTTGTCAGAGGCAATGCGAAAGTCAACGAAACATACAGAGAGAGGCCTACCTGAGAGGATGTAGGGAGTAGCATGATATTTGGGTCCGCAGGCCCTCATCCAGCTGAAGCTATCTCACACGGACCGTTCCAGCTTGTCTCCTCCCCACGCCAGCGCGAGGTCCGACTCCTTAGGCCAAACACATTTGCGCGAGGAACATGTGCATCGATTATCGATCAGTTTTGGGGGTGCCGACCCAAAGCCAAGTGGGAGGAATGAGAGCTTTTGTTGAGTGAAAACTCGAGAACATATTGATTCATTGATGTTCCTTTGTTTAATTAATCATACTTCTTGATAGCTTGGGGTCAGACCACGAAGAGCTCAAAGTCGAAACATGATACGCTTCCTTCGCGAGTCTGTTGAGCCTTGTGCATCAGTTTGCACCGGTATAGCCACATATAGCGTACAAACAGCCAGTGATTTCAGCATGATGAATCAATGGTGAATGTAAAGTAAAACGGCAAAAACAAGCCGACAGCCTCGACGACACGTTGATTGGCTCAAATTCAAGTCTTTGCTCACAATCAGCGAATACATGTGAAACAGCTTGCTTAGTGGATTTGGAATCTTGGACGCCATGGTGGAGTTCAAACCCTTCACAGCTTACATCGTTGATGCTTGCAGGAGTGTTTCCGTTTTCTGGGGTGAATGTGTCATGTGCTTGGAGTTGCCAGATGGCCAACTCCAAGGATTATGTAGGCTCTGTGCAGCCAAAAGAGTCTATGGCACATTAGGGGCTGCCATGATCTGCAGCAGTGGAAACCTTGGGTCACTATTTTCTAGTGGAGGCCCTCATGTAGCACCATCGTCCACTGTTGGAGTGTGGTGGGCAGGGTCCAAATAGCAACTTCATAGAATGGCTGGCCAAAGCTTTCCGCAACACACAGGACAGCTGGTGGCAAAAAGAATGGCAAGCTTTCAGGCCAGGTTGCGCAACAGTTCTTTGAGTCGTTTGTAGGGTTTTGGTGCAGCAGGGTTTGTCGAAAATCAAGTGGACACACAGAGTTTGGGCAGAAAGCTTAGCATTTTCACTCTCTTTGTTTTTGCAAACCAACGCGGTTTGGCAAGTTTGGGGTACTCAGTGTTGCTTGACTTGGAACACCCAAACCCGAAATTGGACAGATGGGGTCAACATCTCAATGACTGGCTCATCCAGTTTGCGCAAGACGATCTATTTGACCACGATTTCATGGATTCACCGATTTCATGGATTCACATGGGTGCATGTTTGCCTAGAGGGTCTCAAGCCTTCAGGGACCGATGTGGTACTTGCTTGACATGTGACGTTCGTCATACGGCTTTGCTGGGGTTACGGGCTCCGTTTTTGGACCAGAACGCATTTTTCGGAGAGGGCATATAGCATCACTGCATAGCTCAGTGATGAAGCTCCAGGCTACCATCCCGGTGAGCTGGGTGCTGCCGTTTGCGATGCTTTGCTGGAGCGCCAGAAGCTGCCGGGTGCGGAGGTGTGGCGAGACTCCGAGAGATGGGCATGGCATTGCCGCTGTGTTCAGCCCATCGTTTCGACATGAACCCATTCGTCGTGGGAAAAGAAACCAAGCCTTAGTTTCCGTAAAATCTAGGAACCAAGTCATTAGTGCGAGTGCTTCTTCAAGGAAGCTTCCCCCGCCGCCTTTAGGGCAGCTGAGGGACCTTCCTTGAAGAAGCGCGAGCTATTCTGCGTCCTGTCCGTAGTAGCTACTTAAGCTACTAGCTACCTGCTACCAGTAGCTACCTACCTCTACTAGCGGCCTACCCCCCCCCGCCGGGCTTTAAAACAAACAGGGTTTGGTCTGCCGCCCCGCTGGAGGGGGCGGAGGTCGTAGACATCCACACCGTAGATTTCTCAGAGCGAGCCGAACTGGGAACTCCCCCACGGCCAGGTGGAGGATGTGATCTTCGGATGCGTGGGGCAAGTGGGTGCACAAGTGTCTTGGCTCTTTGTGACCGGAGTTGGATTCAAAGTTTGGAAGCATATCTTTGTCACCCGTCAAGGTGGGGGGATCAGACCCAGATGAAACTTGGAAACACTGAGGCTGCGAACGTCGGCCGCACCGTGGTTCTCTCCTCGCGGCTGTTGCCCGAAAGCGTCAGGGGAACCGAGGAAGTCGTGTCGACAGTTTTCTCTGAAATTTTTTGATGAGGAAGTTCGTGCTACTAGCAGCAAAGGGCATCGCCACTAGGAGCAAGGAAGCTACTAGTAGCTCCTGGCATTACTACTAGGAACAAGAAGCTAGTAGTTAAGATTCCCATAAAATTTGTGCTGGTATGAGTATCTCCACATGGACAAAAGATACATGTCACAGTGGATCTAGTCCGTACCAAGTCAGCACATGAATGCATCTTTCTACCAAAAGGATCCAAAAGGTCTTTAGGTTTTGGTTTAAAGTTACTGTAAGACTAAGACTAAGACGGTTAAGTGGCGTGATTCGGATACATGGTCTCTCTCAGCTTGTGAGCTTGTTTCGATGGAGAGACATTGACCATGCGCCAACCTTAGGTCCTCTGCTGAATTCACTTTGACAATTTTCAAAGTCTTGCCATCAGCATATCCCACCCTGCCGGGCAGGCTAGCTACTGTAATATAGCACAAGCAACCCGTGTACTTCGCACTGCTTGGGGCACACATTAGTGAGCTCCCAGATGAACCAGATGACCCGTGAGTGGATACCAAAGTGTATATTGAAAAAGCCATTGACTTGACAGACAGACGTCTTCTCCCTTCCAACGTCAAAACGGTGCGCAAGAAGATCGCCGTGGACCGGTGACCGGCCCAGGTGCCTGGCACCTCAGTGGACCGGCAATGTGGCTCCTCGCAGCAGGCAGACGGTTGGGGCGAACGCAGTGAGAAGCACCGAAAAGCATCCAAAAGCATGAGAAGGACTGCGTGCATCTGCTCCGGAGCAGTTGGAGTTCAGCTGATGGATGATGTTTTCCACATGAGAGGGGAAACCTTTGCTTGACAAATGAAAAAAGGCCAGACATGGTGCTTAGCATGCAGGATAGGGAAGTACTCCTGACGCTGTCACCTAGTTTTGGTCAAATAGATGACGTCAAATGAGAACAGACTTACTGTATATACCACATCGACCCTCGCAGCGTGCAACTTTCTCGGTAGCACAGATACACAGCAGTGGCTAGAGGTGACATTTCAAGAGTTCGATTGGCATAGCGCCACAAGGAAACAACTGGGCCCGCCCCATAAAACCTGGAGTTCGGATCTCCTCCCTTCGCAAATGGCTTCAATGCGCTTACGCTCGGCTGAGCTTGGCCTTTCTAGAGGTTTTCGCCTGAGCTCTTGCCTTTGGACGAAGGCGGAATTTTTCAAGACCTGAGGCGTATTTCATGATCGCTGCCTGTTGTCCGGTGGACGGACCTTACAAAACACGCCTTGAGTCTGCTCTACATCAGAAGCTTTGTCCATACTTCGATCGTTTTCAACTGCTTCTTCTCAGTGTCGCTTCTAAAGCAATCGAGGACTTCCATAGCTTTCTGGATTTCCACTTCGGGGACATTTCTTTCACGGTTCCTGGAAAGAGACGCCTTTTATGACTCAACCTATTCTTAGACAGCTGGCCTCACTCCGGCCATTGGCATGTCATTTGCGGAGATTACTTCTTCGATTTTGCTTCCGCTGGGGTTGCGATTGCTCAAAGGCCTCGCGTGACGCGCAGTATGTTGGAAAATTTGATGCACCTGCAACCAAATCTGTGCGAGGCACGGTGCATAAGCAACGGCGATTTGAGCTGGGTTTCTTGAGATTCTCTTAAGTGATGGGTTGAGAACTGGAGGCAGGCTGAAACAAGACCGAAAGGCGGGGTTGACATTTTTTGCTTATATATAGATGGTGGTTCCTTTCATTGCTTCTATGAAAGGCTTGCAACGCGAGTGCTGTGCGACAAGCTTTGACCCTGAGTTGTGGAATGCAGCTTAGGGGACTGGAAGGGGGCTTAACGCTCAAAGGTGGGGCGCCATCAAATCCTGTTTGCACTTGAGAAGCCAGGCCATTCATGCTGCAGCTCAAGCAGTGATGAGTGGAGTGCACGATTGCTGCACCCTGGCAAATGTATATTTTTTCCAAACATGTTTTCCGTTCAGTTATATTTTTCTTCGCAATCTCTGAGATTGGTGCATGTGACTGGCACTTGTGCAAGGCATTGCGGGTGGTGTGGAGGTCATGCCTGGGGCTCAGCTCGAGTCCGCGAGGTTGCGAAGCAAGGCTTCATCACCGGTTGCAGGGGGGTGCAAGCCATTTGGATTAGACAACTCTAGTCGTAGGGAACCTTTATTTGTCACATAGGGTTATGTAGGTGGACATGGGCTTGAAGGCAGATGATGTCAAGAACAAGGCCATTAGTTGATTCAGTGGCTAGGCACAGGTGAAAAAACAAACCACAAGCCATGTACTGGGATCGCAGGCAAAGGCAAGAACGATTATGTATGGTTTTCTTTGCAGGAATACACGCACACAATCACACACTCGGGAAATGCGTACTGAATTGAAAGCCACTTGCCACACGGCAACCTAGCTGAAAAATGTCCTTGAGTAAAGCATGAAGGGGGTTTGAGCATCTTGCAAGGTCCAGGTTCGAGGTCCAAGAAGCCAAGGTGGAGCCACAGCGTGCCCAACAGCTCAAAAAAGGAACAGGTACGTGGAGTTGATCAGACGCCATATCCTATCAGTCGTGGCATAGCCCTCTTCGTTGGGCAGCCAGCTATGCTCACGAGGTTGCCCCCCTGCTGAAAAGGACCGAAAGGCCCCCTATGACTTCAAGGGCTTCACACGCACGCATCCCGTAAAGGGAGGCAACAGTGAAAGCTAAGGTTCAGACTGACGTGCGCCCGCAAAGCGGACAAAGAAATGAGGACGTGAAAGCCGGACAAGACAGACCAAGTGTATGTGGCTGCAAAGAAGAGAAACCAAGTGAACAGGGACCTCTGGAGAACCAGACCTCCTTATGACAGCCTGGGCGACCTAAGACCTCGTTTGGATGTAAGCGTGCGCAAAAGAGGAAAATAGGGGATGAGATGACAAGACATGAAGGCAGGAAAGACATGAAAAGAACGAGGAAAAAGAAAGAAAAGTGTGTGAGGGGAAAAAAGATGAAAGGGGGAAACAAGATGAAGGGGCCGGAGAAACGAAGCCAAACCTGATTAGAGCGAGCCTAAGGGGAAGTGGCCTAGTTTATGTGCATGCTGTGTGTGCACCTTAGGTTGGAACAGGTCCCAACAGATCTTGAGAGCTCTGCGACCGCTGCGGTCTACTCTTGGCATTCAGCCTGCTTTGGTCGCTACGGACGACTCCTGCTCAAGCTCCGTCAAAGCCGTCAAATCTCAACTGACCTATGCCACAAAGCTCCAGCTCTCGCTGCGAGCTGCTCTGGTCCCGGGCGCAGGGACATAGACCAACTCCCGTTCGACGAGGCCACGGGGGGCACTTTTCGGGCTCACTCCGGGCTGGCATGAGGCCAGACACACTCGGGAAATGCGTACAGAATTGAAAAATGGCAACCTAGCTGAAAAATGTCCTTGAGTAAAGCATGTATGGGGGTTTGAGCATCTTGCAAGGTCCAGGTTCGAGGTCCAAGAAGCCAAGGTGGAGCCACAGCGTGCCCAACAGCTCAAAAAAAGAACACGTACGTGGAGTTGATCAGACGCCATATCTTATCAGTCGTGGCATAGCCCTCTTCGTTGGGCAGCCAGCTATGCTCACGAGGTTGCCCCCTGCTGAAAAAGACCGAAAGGTCCCCTATGAACCCAAGTTTTTACACATACACACACACGAAATCAGTTTTTGGACGCCGGAGCATGTGGGTGTCACACTATGTGTAGCCCATACCACGCTATGTGATCCTAAAGATCGTCCGGAGCCTAATTGCTTTGCTTTTGGACGCCTCTTTTTCGGTCTGCAACTGCCGTCCGTCTGTTCTTGAAGTCATTCGGCACACATCTCAGCTTCAGGTCTTTGGTGCCTATTGGTGCCAACATCATTGATGGCATGAAGGCCAGAAGAGAAGACCTGTTTCTCACTGGTGCTCAGGAAATCATCAGTTTCTTGCTGGACAATCAACCAGTGAGGCATCAGCACTGCGGCGCTTTTGCCAGGCTGGCCACGGGTTTCCCATGACCGAAACCATGAACCAGAAGTATGAGCAGAAACTGAAGGCGGGAGCGATCCACGTGGCTTTGGGTCAAAAGGTCAACACACCCAGAGATAGGATCAGTATGGATCAGTTGTGTAATTAAGTTGAACTTTCGCTCAGCGTGAACAAATAAGGCTATGATGCCAGTTGCCGGATGTGATCACAGATGTGAGGTTGTACATTTGTGGGGCAGTTGTCAAACAGTTTGTTGCGAGACACCCAGATGCTGACATCCCGAGATGATTTGGGGTCCCATCAACAGATATTACGATTTTTGTAAGGCAGAAAAGCCTGGACTCCACAAAGCAATCACTTCAGACAGTGGCATCGGTGTAGACTTTTCGCGTGTGGGGTTGCTGTTGGTTATTTTACCTAATGGACCACTCATTTAACTGTACTGTCAAATCCATCTGCGAGGCCTTTGAGCAGTTCGGCATCTCCACCTCAGCCGCCCGGCAGGGATTCAGTTTGGACACTGCGGGAGACGTGTTCTGATCAACATGGGTAGGGATCTTCGGACGGAGGAGGTAAAAAACGTCGATGAAGTCTCCATCAGTTCACATGGTCAGCTTTTCTCTTGTGTCAAACTTATGTTCAGTTTTGGCTTTGTGGCTTCGTTTTAGTTTGCTGTGGCGAGGGGTCAGGGGGTTCATGGTGGAAGAGCGTCGGCTATGCCTGGGGTTGGGGGACTGTGCGAATCGCACGAGACGAAGGCCTTCTCCCAGTTTGGTGGCGCAGAGCTGTTGGCGCAGAAGTACCAGCTGACCCGTCAGGTCGGGACGGCGCGGTTGTGGTTTGACAATTGACATGCTGGACGAACAATGTTCAGAAGAGGCAGAGTGGCAGATTTTTGTGTATTTTGTTGAAGAAGCAAACCAACTAAAATCCACCCTGTAGTCTTTTCGGCATGAACGAATGGACATCCGGCCAATGTGGATGTTCTCGACCAAGATCAAAAGGCTTTGGCACTTGCTGACATGCCGATCATTTGTTGGATCTGAAGAACACTATGAGCAATTCCAAAGACCAACCGAAGCCAGAACTCTGGCAGAATTTCCTTGGAAATTTTAAACACATCTATATTATATAATTCTATATACTGTATATAGTTATATAATTATAAGCTTACCTGAACCTAAAGGGCAACCCCAAAAAGGTTGCCCCCTTCATGAATGTTGGGTGCTCCATCCAAACCTCAACCGGAGGACATCCGCCACCAGCTTTTGCAGCGGCGGATTTTGGATTCGTTTTGGGTGGTCGATCACCAAGGACGTGGACCGCTTCGCGGTGAGCTCGCAGCTGAGGGCAGCAGCCTCCACAAAGGCGACGGGCGAGTGGAAAGAGATGCTCCTAGTAGCGATGCTTTTTGCTCCTAGTAGCGTCCTTACTCCTAGTTAGTAGTAAGGCCAGGAGCCCCTAGGAGCGTCTTTGCTCCTAGTAGCGATGCTTTTTGCTAGAATCCGAAGCTTTGCCATGGCAGATTGTTCTGTGCATTCTGAGGGTTCGCATGGGGCATTGACCGGACATGACGCACAGGATACAGGTCATCCAAAATCTCAGCCTCAGCCATTTGTTCCATTTATATACACCAAGATTATACACCAATGCTTACAACGCGGTTTGCTCCATATTGAGAAACACCAACCATATGGGGATGGGTTAAAGCTAAAAGTCAGCTGGACTCTTGAGGTTTGAAGATCAACATCACAAGAGCAAGCTATGTATATATATATATATACACACTACAAGCTAGTTGGGTGTGTTTGGGTCAAAGGGTGGGGCTGCTTGATAACTGGCAACCAAAGAATACCTTGTGACCCAGGTTCTCCATTATTGGTAGTAGTATTCTGTGTGTTGACAGTGCCAGTGTAGGCTCACAAGAGGCTCTTGCAGTTTTGGGACTGGACAATGACTCAACGGCTCTATGAGGCTGGGGTTCCTACGAGAATCCCAGGGGACCCTCCAACAGGAATCGAATAGGGGATCCAGATGGCTATCCGACGATCTCCCTATCCGACGATCTCCTTATCCTTTCCACCCTTACTTTTTTCATAAAGATCGGTTTGCCCTTGAGCATTTTGTGTTTTTTTCGTCTTTATGGCTTGTAGGGAGCAATGTTTAATACTATATAATTGTTTGAGAACTTTTTGAAGCTCCAAGCGCATGCCTTGTCAAACACCCCCCAAACTTCCAGTCTTCCCTTTGAAAACTGTAGAAACTATGCCAAATTTGTGAGATTTTGCTGGAAGGGTTTCTGACCAGGCTATGAAGCCAACGAGAGTAGCTTGTCCACTACTCGACTTCTCATAAGTCCATCTCCTTCAAACTGAAACGCGCCAGGCAGGCAAGTTTCAGGATGAGATTGTACCACTGCCCGTGAAGAGCCCCTTGATGACCGACAGCGGTGTGGGGGCTGTGGGGGGGCTTTGAATATTTGTTATGTAGTTGAACATAGTTGAACCAAGGTTACCCTTAGGTCCTTTTTAGGTGTGGAGATCCTTTCATTTGGGGGTGTGAACAACAGTGATGTTTTCGGAATGTCTGGAAGTCGGAGCTTGCGCCCAACAGGAGGTCGATTTGAGATGTCCTTTCTTCGATTTGGTGCATCAAATCTGATTGTTAAGTGGTGAACGGAAAGTCTTGAATGGATCCAGCCTGTCGAACTGCGAGACAGCTTTCCTTGTCTTGTTAAACAAGGAAGGGGCAAGTTGAACAGAAAGGAAAGGAGCATAGTTTCAATGGAAACACTTGCAACTATGTTCATGAATTTATATTTTTCATCCCTTTTCCATTTGCAAGGAAAGGAAGGCGAGTCAGAGGGCGTCCATTTGGAGGAGCGAGCATGAGTTCCCGAAGCGACTTGAGAAGAAGCAGATGCCTCCGTTTTCTTAACGCTGTGTCAAAGGTTTGGTCAGTTGGTACAGTTGTGGAGTTCCACTTCCATGCACGCTCGGACCTCAAGTGACTAGCCCTGTTGAAGTGCATTCGATTAGGTCAACACAAAGCACGAGGGACCAAGCTCAATAGTTGTCCCGTTGCTCTCTCGGCAGGATGAAGGGATTCGTGGGAACGTAACTGCTGAGAGCGTCGGCAAGTTGAAGGCTTGTGGCAAAGTTTCTTTTCTTTCTCAAAGGGTCAAGTATCAGAGTCTCAAGTCAACAAATCCCGCGGTTTCCCGCGTTCCCACAGCTTTTGACCCACATAGGCAACCCATCATGTCACCACAGACTCAACAGCGTGTGCATGGCTGATTGTTTTGTTGTTGAAGAGCTTTTCAGTGTTTGGTCCTCAGCTTGGCTCCAGGCAATGTTCCCCAATGGCATTATGACGCCTGCAAGCTCATCGCAAATCTGCCAAGCACACCCAGAGTCACGTCGGTGTTTGCGACTTCAGGAGGTCTGCCTTGAAGACTAGGCGAGTTCTTTACAAAAGACCAGCGACAGGCCCTCATCAAGTGTTACAGATTTTGCATGATTTTGCCTTTGGACACAACTTAATTTTGATTGTGTGACAATTGTGACATTGACATCATGGCTTCGGCATATTAGCTGCTAGTGGCTTTTGGCCTTTGCATACAAAGTTTACTTTATATTTTGTCATCCAGTAGGAGCAAAGACGCTACGAACGGGGCTGACAGTTGCGACACCGGTCGGGAACGATGGACCCGAGGCGATGGGGCCTCGGCCGTGCTGATTTGCAACGAGCCGGGGACCATAGAGGCCCTATACAGGTTGCAGTGAGTGATGAAGTGGCCACCTGTAAAAGCGAGTTGGTACAGTCTGCTTGAAGCACACATGGTGGACTGGTGGACTTGGGGTTTTCCTTCCATCTCTGAAAGATCACCCATCCATTATTCCATTTCTCCGTCCAATTCCTTCGAACATCCGAGACGCGGCCTGGAGAAGTTGGGCCTGAAGCCCATGGCCAGGCCGGTGCGACCGATCTGAGCCGAAGGTGAACCGTAGAAGGGAAGGGCCCGGAGAGGGTCCAAATCGGAGCTTGTTGCAGACGCTGGTTTGGCATTTGCTTGAGAAGGACAAGTAGACAAGCATTTTTGCTGAACGATTTGCTTTGGAAATTTTTGCGTCCTCAGGATTCATTCGTTGGCCTTAGTCTGGGTCCCAGCAGAGCTAAGCTTCAGGTAGAGGTTTGCAAGGCAGATGAGTCGCTATCGTTTTATGCACTTCAACCCCAAATTCAAAGCGAGAAGGATCCACATTGCCAAGGCCGCGGCTGATCCTGTGGTGATGCTGGAAGGGTTCCGATCCCAAGAAAGGGTACTTGGATCAAGAAACTGTCTTCTGAATGGTAGCATGCAACGATTGGACAGCAAGAGAGAATAATAGAGCTTTGGCTCCAGTTTCGAACAAGAGAGATGATTGTTTCACATAGGATTTTCAGCACCTATCTCTGGACTTTGAAGCATTGACATCAGCATACAAATCGAGTGGAACTTGACTACATCTAGGATTCAGCCGCTTGCCCTATCAACATCATCAATATGGTTTGTCTGAAGGCAGAGATGCCGGCACTTTCTGCTGTGAAGCCGCCAGCCTTTTTTGTTTCCCGATTGTGTCACCTGACCGGATGATTTCGGTCGGCTGCTTTTGAGGCCCATCCCTGCATCCAAGAAAGCCTTGGAGAAGGCCACAGAGGGGATAATTGGAGCTGTTTTGCTTCCAGGGCAAAAGCACGCAGAGCTTCTTTGAGGAAGGTTTGGAAGTTTTTTGGTTTCCTCAGTTTCCTCTGAGAAGGTGGACGGAGTGTAGAAGTTTGTAATGTTTGCGCTTGCATTCAACCTTGAAGAACATAGACATAAACTGCCCAAAGTGCTGATTTGGGCGATCGGCCCTGTGCGCTTTGTGACTGCACTTTTATCAGTTTCAGTGGGTTTGCCACTCCAATTGGAATCGTCAGTAAAAGGGACAACTCAAGAGGCAACCTTATTACCAGGGTTAGACCATCCTCTAAGACATCCCAGACAGACCGACTTGAGAAACAATGTGTATTTGTACTTACACGCCGAAGCCTATCCGGCGGATCAACCAACCTGGAACTCTAGGTGTCCACACTTCAGTGGCTCGTGACATGTATGATGACGGGATTGGGTATTTGTCCATCTGAATCTACAGAATGGACACCACTGTTGCACAAGAACTTCTCCGTCCATCCTAAGGGATCAACATGTTCTCAGGTGAAGATGAAGATCGACGACATTGATCTTTATGAGGCGTCCGAGCGTCTTTTATTTTGACATGTTCTCTTTGCGGCTGGAGGGCAGCCGCAAAACCTGCCCAGACTGTCATCCAGGTCACTCATGAGGGAGGCCGTCCCGGTGGTCTCATCCTTCCACTGGCTCTATTGGTTGGGCCCCTGTCCCATGTTTTGAACTTGTTAAGGTGTCAAAATTCAGTGGTGGTGAACTTGTTTCCAAAACTTGCTTCCTAGCCCCTGGACCCCTAGGCTCTAGTTGAGAAGGGGTGGGACATGGGGCTTCCCTCACTAACTTTGACCTGAGGGGGGCTATGTCTGGTGGGGAATCCTTCATCGTGTGACGATGTTCATATTTCTTAGCATGGACCAGCTGGTGGTACCCCCAGCATGGTTTTCTTCTTTGTCTCTGCACAAGCATGAGCAGGCAGATGGGCAGTGGATCTTGGACAGTAAAGACCTGAAACTGTTGATCCAACGGTCTGACATGACACTTCTCTGGTTTCAGGACTCCTGAGCGAGGCAAGTTTCAGAGCTGGGTCATCAAGCAGCCGTCCCTAAGTGATGTGTTGGCCCGTTTTGAACCGTCTTGGTGAGGTGAATGAAGCTTTTGCCTCAGTGCCCCTGGCTTGGTGCAAGGCTTGGTGTTCCGGGCCGAAACGTGAGCACAAGTTGGAGTTCATTTGGGTCATTTAGGTCACCTGCTTCCACCTTTTCATCTAACCAAACAAGGAGTTGACACCAGTGGCTGGTAGAGCCCAAGAGCTTCGCCACCCATGATGCTTTGGAAAAAGGCCTTGGGCGCAGATTTTGAGAAGCTGAATGTGGCTGAGCTGCAGAAGGAGCGTGACGTGAGGGATGATCCAAAGTCCAAACTCGGTTTGCTTTCATTAGGGATGGTCATCCATGTCTCGACGAGGACTTTTGGTACTACCGCAAATGGGACCCTGGGCAAGGGCAGAATGACTTTTCCAAGAATTCAATGAGTTTCGACTTTTTGCCCATAAGGAAAGCGGGTTTGCCGAAAGAGGGTTGGCTCAAGAGGGTTCGCAGTTCTTCAGCTTTAGGAATATGTCCATCGCAATATTTTCTACTGTGTGAGAGAACACGGCAAGCTATGAGTATAGCCAGCCTGGATCTTTCCAGATGCTTGTTGCGAACAAGCTTTGGCGATCGAAATCAAAGGCTAAACACTTTTGGGTGGTCGAACCGAGGCGACCTCACAGGTCGCTTGAAAGGGTCTTCGACGATGGAGATGCCGCATTTGTCCAGAGAAAGTGGTTTTCATATTGACAGAGCAGGCTTCCAGAGCATATTTTTGTTGAGGAATTTGCTTTTAGAAGCACCATGAGCCCATGAGCCACGCCACGGACGAGAGGGATGGAACCCGCAGCAAGGTCAACGGTGGTGCAATGGCGCTGGGCCATCCACTGGGAGGCTGGGCCGTCCACTGGGAGCAAGGGATTTGAGGCAGCTAGAGGGTTCTGTGCAATGTGGCGGGGACCAGACTCTTGGCTCAAACCCCCAAGTGGTGGCTGCCCAAAGAGAGTCTTTGGGATTTGAGCTAGGGAGATTTGATGTTGAAGACTGAGAACTTTGTGAAGTCTTACCTCTTGGACTCAGGAGGTGTAGCAGTGCTAGCGGAGACCTGCCGATCTGGATGTAGCGCTTTGTTTTTGGTTGGAGCTGTTGGGGCCGGTTGGACCTCACGTTTCCCAAGACCACATGAGATCCGGTGATGTACTGCTGGCACAAAGACCATCAGGGAGACACAACAGACATTGGCTATACCTTAAGCTTCCCCAAACATCTAGGAACCAAATGAACAGAGCGAACAAAGTCCTAGTAGCTACCTCTCCCTTACTTAATTACTGTAAGTAGGCGTCTACTTAACTAAGTAGGGATGGGGGGAGCGGCCCCCCCAAAAAAGAAGGAAAAGAAAAAGCATCTGGTTCTCGTGAGATTGTTTGTTCTTTTCCTTTCCCGGTCGGCCGCTTTGAGGGACCGGCACGAAGCTGATGACCACCTTGCTCCATGAGCTCAAGCGCCGCAAGGCCAGTGGTCACACGGTTGACGCGCTGGGGGAACCATGTCAGGGGTATCCTCCGAGTTGGATATCTACACTGACTCACTAGCATGGCACTTTCTAGCTCATGGGAAGACGATATCTCTTTCCAAAAGTGTGTTGCGCAAAGAAGTGTGCATGACCCATCCTCGTAGATCAAACGAACCAACAAAAACGGGTTCCCCACTTGTTTCGGAGCAGGTCTACCAGGAGCTTCGTCAGTTCAGACATGTTCAGGGTGATGTTTGGAGCGTTCAGAAGCATTGATGAACACCCAGCAGTTTGGGGTCCTTGAGACCAGATACACTCAATCCGTTTAAACAGTTTGGCATTTTATTCTTGTTTGAGCTTAACTCGATGTTGATACCCAGGAAGGCCTATCTGCAGTGTTGGGGAGATTTGCCCAGCTTCAAACTTTTGAACATACTGTCTCTCAAGGGTGGTGGATCCCCGACAAACGGGCGGGTGGACGGTTCGGGTGTGGTAAAGCTTTGCAAGCTCAGCACTGGGTCGCTTAGAGTATATAATTATATATAAAGCTACTAGTAATAGCGTCCTTGCTCCTAAAATAGCTTCTCAAGACGGCGTCAAGAAGATGCAAAGGCAGAGCTGTTCGACACAGTGCCTTGAATTTGCTGCACCTGTTTGGCGTGACTATTCTTGTTTAGCCTCGTGTTTTGATTCTTCCTTCTCTAGAACACTCATACATGGCTAATCCCAAAGCCCACAAAAACACTCTCGCCGTCTTGAGAAGAAGCAACCTTTGCATTTCCTTTCTAATCGCCCAAAAAGACATCTGGCTGCACACCCAAACCCACACACGATCTATACCCCGATCCTTGGGGCATGGATTAGAAGGTGGAAGTGAAAACCGCGTGGTCAGTTGGAAAACAGCTTCAACTTAGCAGAAGGAGCTAATTGGAAAATGCATGATTCCAAAACACCAACCTTCACCGCAAGCCATTAAATTCAATTTGTGATCTTGGCTTTGCTGGCCGTGCTTTCGGACTGCTGCACAGTTTCAATCTGGCGGAAGCCAAGACATCGGCGGACAAGGGGAAAGATCGCTTCTTTCGTTTTCTTCTTCTTCTTCTTTTTCTGCTTCTTCTTTTGCTTCTGCTTCTTCTCTACCTAACCCATCCATAATCTTTTTTTGTGCACCTATGAGACGTATCCATGTATCCATCGATGTATCAGTGTACCAATGCATTGATGTACCGATCAACTATCTACCTATATATCTATCAATGTCTTCCCATCCTCTGTTTCATATTATTTGTCACATATCCACCCATCTATCCACAATCATATACTGTGATGCAAGAGCCAGCAAGTGATCGTCTCTGGAGCTGCAAGATCCCTCTCGCTTGCTCTCGGAAAACTGGCGGGAGAACAGCCATGCATACCAAATTCTCTTGGGGTTCCTGCTGGTGCAGATATCTCGATGGCCTTGGCTAGGATCCATCTCTGAACTTGGCCAACCGGCCAACCCCTCAAACTCACATAATTACAAACCTCAGCATTGGCTGAACTTTGATTGCAAGGGATTGATTATTTGGTCATCAGCATAGCCACCAATCTGCAGCCTCCTCCATGCACCGTGCTGATCGTGTTGTAGTGAGAAGCTCAGCTTGAATGAATGGACTTCTGCCCACCCTTCCAAACATTTAGATCCTGGCAGAAGCGCTTTGGGCTGCTGGCGATTTGCGAAGGGGGCGGCACTGCGAATGCCACTATCGCCCCCTGGTCTGAATGGGGACGTGGATGAGGCTTCAAAGCTTTTCTCTGTATTTGTTGGGAAGATGATGCGTGCTCCCTTTAAAAGAGGCGGGGTACTGATTGATTGCCGTAGCTTTTTGGCTGGTACCGTTCCCGGAAAGACACGATGACAGACACTATTACGTAGTTCTTTTCAGGAGTGAAGTCGGATTGGTAGATATTTGTTCACTTCCTCGACTCTCTCTTTCACCTTTTCAACTGGTTCACGGCGCCACGGCGCCACTGACGTATGCCCCAGCGCCAAAGACCCGCCTTCTGTTCGGACCGCTTTCTGCGCACCGGGTCCATGGGGCGGGTTTAGGGGTTCGGTCTGTTCCGTTTGGCCAAAAAGGCAGGGTTTTCCGGGAGGACTTCCCGAATCTTCCCAAAACCACAACATGGAGGTTGACGGCCTCAGGACCTCTTTGAAGGTCATGAAAACGATTTTGGACGCTGCTGGAGACTTTCTCTTTGAGGGAAGATCTTTTTTCCTGGCTGGAGATCTGGAGTTTGGAGGCTTTGTGAGTCTTCTGATTGACATTTTTGAGGTGGAGATGATGCCCAGTGCCAAGCTGTGAGCCGAGACGAGTGTCACAAGTCCTGGCCCGCTTGGGGAAGGCTTGCGAGCTGAATGGTGTGGAAACATGATGTCAAAAGCAAGGGGTATCACTGTATCACTATTGTGGACGGCCCCGGTCCAGGAAAAAAGAAGAATACATCTTCATGTTCATGCTGTTGATGGTCTTTCTACACCCATGTTTGATCTCTGTTTTAATCTCGGCTCTTGGCCGAGCGCGGGTAGTACGTTCACTGCATGAGACGTGCTCCACAAAAGAACGCACGGTCGTGTTCCTCTTCGTGGGTTCGGGCGCCCCTAAGGGCCCTAAAGGAAAAGGAATCCGACGGAGAGGGCGAACACTACCCGTGCACGAGACGAGTAGACCATCCTCGCGGGATTTCGTTCGTGAGAAAAAACAGTGACCGTGTGATGCCGGACGACGAGGGACGACGAGTGAAGTGTGGCCGTGACGTGGGGCCCGTGGGATTGACCTGTGGCGAATGCAAGTTTGGGACGAGAAAGATGTTTCTTTTCACAACTAAGGGTGACCAAGCGTATGTGCTTGGAGGAGACTGTAATAGAAGGAATGACAGAGAGATTGCCCTCGCACAACTTACAACTTGGCTTGCACTTCCTGATCCAAACATTACCGCATTTTGTGTGCTGCGCCTTTTCTGCTGCCCTTGTACCAGCTTCAATCGGCAAGAAAACATCAGCAGTCATAGAACGCTCCTAGCCGCATGTGTGCACGCAGCGAATATCAAAAGCCAAGAGTGAAGTCTTGGAAACACCACGGACCATCAGTTTTCTTTTCTTTTTTTTTTCTCTCTCTCTCTCTCTCCCCCTCTCTCATTCTCTCTCTCTCTCTATATACCAGGTGTGCCTTGGCAGTCGACCTTGCGATCCATCCCTCAGACTGACAAATTCCTATCCTTTCAACGAAACTAGATGTCCCTTCTTTTTTCTGAGTCCCGTGACCCTCAAACCGAAAGAATCCCAGATTTGGTCGTGATAGAAACATAACCCAAAAAGGACTCAAACCAAATACATTTTATAGTATAGTCGTTAACCTCAAACACAACCAGTGCATCTGACTGGGATTTGTGATCCTTCTGGGTCCTCAAATCCAGTCGTTGTGTTTGTCACCAGCTGCGAGTTTCTGACGGAAGTCGAGTCGAAGATGTGTCATGGACCTGGCGCGCCGCCTTCAAAGCAAGGCACAATTGGGAATACGACCTGGTATCGAAAAGAGAGGTATCGATGGATCCATTTAAACCTAGGAGCAAGGACGCTACTAGGGGCTCCTGGCCTTAAAGATCCTTCAAGGTACAATCCCAAACATCCGTCTATATCGCGATGGACCAGTGACACTTGTACTCCCACGCAAGACTGGTCGCACCGGTGGTGGTCCGGTCCACCGGCTGGGCACCAGACGGCACCGGTTGCGGCGCTTGGGCCAGGCGAAGCTGGTGAAGCTTGGCCAAGTCGTGGCACCAGCCTCGGTTTATTTTTGTGAGCGGGGAACGTCGTGGAGCATCGTGGATTGTCAAAAGAGTGTTGATCTTTGGATTAAGGAGTTTCCTTGTCTGACAATAATGGGCGTGACCCCGCTGTCCATACTTGTAATTCTCTGTAGATATTCACCACAGTACTCGCCCGTGAGGAGCGCAAGATCCAAAGGCTGGTAGGTGAAAATCGTTTGTTCATCTTGGGGTGTGACTCAGGGCAATTTTCCATAAGAAAATTATCGTTCTGCCGAATGAACTGATCAGCCAGCATGGACACTTTCAGGTTTCAATTTCATTTTTCTTGTCTTTCGCCAGACAGCACTCCCGCATCCATAGTGAGGACACATCTCTTTCACTCATATTTCATGTTTCCATTTTATTACCACTCGCACATCGCAAACTTGAACATTTTCCTTCTGCAACAAGGAAGAGCAGAGAATTCCGACCTCCAGAATGCCAGTGATCCCCACCCCACCCGTATTTTGGGATTGAGGACATCGATCCATCTCTACACTGCACTGCACCAAGTTTGAAACTTTGCCCCCAAGCCGGGCTTTTGTGCGAAAAGATCCCGAGACAAAGCAAACAGCACACTTTTTAAGACAGCAACTCAGGATTGCGTATCAAAAAGTCTCGGGGGGTGTAGGCGATGACAACTTATCATATGTACACCAAAAGGACTTTCTTTGATCCTTCCACAGAAATGCCCCCCCTTACAGTGTGCCTCTCAGGCCCTTCCGGTGCGGCGAGCGTTGCATACAGATTATCATGGTAGGCTGGGATTCAAAGGGGATTTCTGATGACGACTTCTTGCTGTGCTTTCATCCGTGTTCCTGATTCGTAATCAGAACTAATGAGTTTATGAGGTTTCCATCTCCAAAGAATGGCTGTCCCGGGTACTCCGGCGATCCTGAGATCTAACGGTACCTCGCTTGCGCACAATCCTCCTATCCTCCTAGCCATATTAGTGTTTCAAGGAGTTCTTGAGTTTGAGAAGCAATCGGACACTGTTCATGGTTCTTATTTTCCTACAGTCGGGTGATCCAAGAAGTATTGTCCAAACTCAGGGAAATTTAGATCCTTTGGTTTAGTAAAGTGGATGATGGTGGAGAGGATAGTGTGTTTGTGGCCAATCTGCTGCAGGTTGCGGATAACAAACCCCCTCGAGCGCATCATCTCTTCAGCACCCTCTCGGCCGAGGCTACCCATGCCCCTCTACTCGCTCCAAGGGCCCAAAGCACGCTTGAAAGATCTCCAGGCGCTGGAAACATGCTAAAGAACGGGAGGAGCTCCTGAGAACCTTAGAGGTTTCTCCAGAGCCTGGGTATGCCTGGGTATCAGACTGAGTCCCCAGAGTTGTTCTCTTTGAAATAGGAATGTCCCTGGGCACAGGTGGGAGACAGGAAGATCTGCCCCCCCATTCTTCCAAAAGTCATGTCTACAGCGCTTGGGTGCTCAGGTTCCAAATCCGTCCCAACCCCCCGCAGTGCTCGGCTTGCTGTTCGTGGTCCTCCTTCGTTTCAGGTGGCCCTTCGCGAAATCGAGCAGGGCGAGTCTGAAGGCACAGGCGACTCTCATGTGGAAGAGTTGGAGTCTCTACACGAGAAGTTCATCAACGCAGGCACGACCAAGGCATGTGGGTGTGCGGGCCGGGAATGGGATTTCATGGAGGGCGCTTAGTTCAAAGATGATTGACACTGACCCCTGACTCATAAGTGACTCATCATGTTCGTTATGGTGAAACTGATGGCCCGTGAAATCCGTTCTAAACATTCCAAAAGACATGTCCGAATCAACGAAAGCTCCACTCCCACAATTGTGTCGGAGGCCTACTCCTACAAAGACTTGTCTGAGGCGCTTGTATGGTGTTCAATGGTTTCGGGCAACCCTTTGGTCTTGATTCCGACACATTTTGTGTAACAGGTGGTCTTGTGGCCTGTGACAACTGCAGGAGAAGCTGCGAGAGAAGATTCAGATGTACTTGGCTGGCGAGGTGCACAGTGAGGCTCGCTGGAGGGGGGCCTTTAGGACCCAGGCCGGATCTTTGTCCATAAAAAAAAAGGCATATAGGCACTGGAAAAGATCCAAGGATACTGGAGACCACCTGGGCATTCTAGAGTGTGACATCAACCGATAAGGACCGACCAGAAAGTTGATGGCATTAGAAGTAACCTCACAGGTTTGTCAACGGCCCATCTAACGATCTTCAACTCCATTGATTTGGCAACTCCGGTGACCTCCTATACAGTATACATACATATATACATCATACACAGACAACCAAGGCGCTCGCTCGCGTCACGCACAAGCGCTTCGATTGAGGGACAGCACAATCTCATGCAGGTGGTCGAAGCTCTTGACGCGCGATTGCTGGCGTGTCACGATGTGCTCCTTGAAGATTTGTCTGAGCCCCTCTTGGAGGTGCCCCGGGAAGTGCAGGGACATGCTGGGATGTTGGGGATGCACCAACTGGAGGGTCATCTATTCCACCAGGAGGTGTGAAGTGTTGTCCTCCAAAACATAGATGACCAGCCGCTACGGCCCTCAACCAGAGGCCTCCTCAACAAACAGATACGGTAAGCGTTTCTATAGAGATGGGTGACAACCCTCATCCTGCTTGTGCCTTCTCGTTTGCGCATCTCTCTCTCTCTCTCTCTCTCTCTCTCGCTCTCTCTCTCTCTCTCTCCTTCCCTCCCCCTCGCTCTCCCTCGCTCTCCCTCGCTCTCCCTCGCTCTCCCTCGCTCTCCCTCGCTCTCCCTCG